CAGCCCCTGCCGCCGGTGCGGACCCCAGGGTGGCAACCGCGGGTGGGGGGCACCGCTGTGCCGCCCCTTTGCAACCCCCTGCTGCGGGCGGGGACCCATCTGTGCCCACCCCCCCGCCAGGGACCCAACTGAGTCACCCCCCGTCGTGGGCAGGGACCCCCATGGCACCCAGGGACCCCACTGTGCCACCCCAGTGCCACCCCCTGCTGCTGCTGGGGACCCCTCTGTGCCACCAACCCTGCTGTGCCATTCCCGGTTACAGGCAGGGACTCCCCCTGCCACCCCTTTGCTGCTGTTGGGGACCCCACCGTGCCCCCCCATTGCCACTGCCAACTACAGGCGGGGACCTTCCCCTCATCACCTCTGGGCCACCCCCGGGCTGGGGACCCCGCTGTGCCACCCCACGGCTGTGCCGGGGACCCCAGCTGCATCACTTCTGCTACCGGAGCCAAGCCCCAGCAGCACAGAGCCCCAGACCCCTGGGGCAGGGTGGGGGCTCCCGCAAACCGGTCCCCCCCCGAAAAAAGCTGCCTGAAGCCCACGCAGGGACAATAGCTGTGTCCTCGCTCACCCCACGGGCCAGCTGCCAAGGCCGAGCGCTGCTGAATCCCCACCGTAAAAGGAGGGCTCAGCCACCCCGCACGGCCCTAATCCGGGGAGAGGAGCGCGTCTCCCCCTGCACCCCAGCGCCGGGCGCAGCCTGAAGCACCACTGCCAGCCCCTTGTCTCGGGGGACCGTACCCGAGCCCCTGCCAGCAGGGTCACAGCCGCAGCAGGGAGGAAGGCGAGGCCAGGGAGCAGCAAGCACTGCTTCCCTGTGAGCCACCCACGCACCTGGTAAATAGAGGCGCAACCCTGAACACCTCTGTTTCCTGGGTGCGGGGCACATAAAGGTGCCAGCACCCCGGGTGTCGCAGCAGCCGTGCCGCATAGGGTGGCGGGGCTGTGATGGAGGGCAGGGGAAGGTGATCCCCCCCGGGCAGGAGAAGCAGGCCATTAAAAACCAGAGCACTTGTTTGAACGCTGCTATTTCGGGCCATGCTGGGGGAGGGAGGTGCCGCAGGGCCCCCGTGGCAGCTGGGAGCATCCTTGGGGTCAGGAGCAGCGGGAAGGGGGATCCCGCAGGAGATGCCCTAGCAGGGAAGGAGGGAGGTGAGGCTGGAGCTGTACTGGGAGCAGGGGGGCCCCCGAGGGAGCCCCCCTCCATGCAGCAGCGGGGGGCTGAGGGGGGGCTGGGAGCAGGAGCTGGCAGAGCTCCCAGCGCCTGGCAGGCAGCGCTCCCAGGGACCCAGGGGATACTGCACGCCAGAGCCACGCTGGGAGGGGAACCATCCCCGCGCAACAGGCATGTGGCCCGCAGCCCCATGATGGGGGTGTAGGATGCAGCCTCCAATACCCTCTGCGGGGGGAAGCAGGAGGTGGGGGATGGAGAGGGAATCTAGGGCAGGAGGAGGAGCAGGGGCCCGGGGAGGGAAGCTAGGTCAGCCTGGGCACGCTGGCTGCTGCCGGGGCCGCGGGGTGGGAGCCAACAAAACTTTATTCAACAAATAATTACAGCATTAAGGACAAGAAGGTTTCACACTCGGCTCAGCAGCTTCCTTGCTGCCGCTGGCCGGCTTCAGGCCCAAGTAGCGCAGCAGGCTGTGGAACTCGTGGCAGCCCGCTGCCGCATCAGGGAAGGCCGACAGGACCTGGGGACAGCAGCAGCGTTAGTGACAGCGTTTGGGATAAGGGTTTGTGTTGCTGCAGTCACAGCAAGCGATGAACCACAAACCTCACCTCTTTCACCTTCTCCTGCATCTCCTCGTGGGTCCTCAGCACTTTCTGGGTGTGATGGAGCCTCAGCTCCAGCCCCCGGACCTGTGGTGGGAGATGCCTGTCAGAAGCCATCCCAAAATTGGGCAGGGACCGGCCCAGGAGGGAGAGGGGACTAGAGCCAGGGCAGGCTCTCGGGGCTCCCCGTACCTGCTCCAGGTACTTGTTGGAGAGCAGCAGTCTCTCATCCTCTCTCTCCACGAGCAGCAGCCGCAGTTTGTCCACCTGCAAGAAGAGCGAGCACTGCTGAGAGCTCATTGTGGGGCGAGAGCTGTGGGGTGGGGGGCTCTCCCCTACCATCCCGGTGGTTGCCTGTTCGAGGAGCAAGGTCTGGGAGCAGTCCCCTGTCCACGGAGGCGTGGTGACACGAGGAGCCCAAGGCCCTGGCAGCCTCCCCGGCCTCACCTCCCGCTGCAGCAGGACTCTCTCCTGGACATAATCAGCATCCACCTTGGACTCCTGCCCCCGCACCTCCTCCCACAGCACCTTGGCCTCCGTCTCCGCACGCTGGAGCGAGCGCTTCAGCAGGGAGACCTCTTCCTTCAGCATCTGCAGGGGAAAAGGAGATGCTGAGAGGGGTCCTGCGGCCAGCACCCCCCAGGCGTGCAGCTCAGCCGGGCCCCCATCACACACCGTGACTTCCCCGCTCTTGTCGATGAGTTGCAGCATCTTCTCTTCCTGCTGTTTCACCACGTCCTGCAGCAACTTCTCATTCTGCGGGGAGGGGGGGAAGAAGCAGTGTCAGGCAGTGCCCAGCCCCAGCCTCCCCCAGCACCCCAGGCAGGAGAGGCTTTTCTCATGTTCAAGAAGGTCAGATGAGCCAGGAACACCCATGGGGCATCGCTGGAGCCGATCACCCAGATTTCTCCGTGTCCTAGATCAGCCCCCGTCCCAGTTTGGCTCTGCCCTGGGGTAAGCGCTGGCCCACTTCTGGCACCGGCTCACCTCTATCTTGCCCCTCAGCATCTTGTTCAACTTGGCAATGGTGGCAGCCTGGGTGTCCATCTTCTCCTGGCTCTGGGCTGTCACTGTCTCCAGCTGGAGCTGCAGGTCAGAGCTGGAAGGGGACAGCAGGGCTGAGGATTGCAGGCGAGCACAGTGCTGGGTACCAAACCCCCTCCTGGGCATCCCACCAGCCCCGCTGGTGGGAGAGGCCAACCTGGCCAGCTGGAAAGCGCCCTTCTAGCCATGGCAGGAGAGGTCTAATCCAGAGCTGGGGTGAGAGGCAGACCCCAGACAGGCTGCCCACAAGAGAGGTCATACCCAGGAGAGCAGTGTCTGTGCCTGGCCC